AACCACTATTACCCAACTTATGCGTTCATTTAAACACCACGTAGATGTGCCCACACGTCAGGTGGAACTTCTGCAGGAGGAGGAATCCTACCACTAGTTTAAACCCACCTAAACCTACTTAAGTTCATTATTGCAGAGAGCAAGTTATTATGGAATATTATTATAGAGATTAACTCCAGTATTCCAGTCACTGTTATCGCCGATCCTCGTATATCTCCTATATTATTAATATCAGAATTCTAATAACATATATAAAGAACTAACTTGTCAGAATATATATATATCTTTAAGTTTTTATTATTGAAAAATTTTTATTTATCAAAACAAAATTTTCAATTATTTTTTTTTCTCCTCTTTATTTTCTCAAAAAATAAAATTTTTTATCTTTTAAAATTACAATCTAAATATAGGTTAGTTGTAATTTTTTTTAAAATCAAAAAATAGCTTTAAAAAGAAGCAATTTTATTATTTTCTACAATCACATTTAAAGAGTTAAGATTTGAAAAGTCTAAAATAGTTAATATTACACAGTAATAGCTTAATGAATCAATTTTTTTGTAATAAAATAATTAATTAATAATTAAATTATATGGCAATACAATGATCTTGATATTAAAAATTCAAGGATAATATATAAATCTAATAATAAATTGTTAATGGATATTCTGCAATACACACCGTTTAACTTTAATATAAAACATTAGGGTTCAATATATTATTGTATTTATAAAACAAGAATTGCAATCTGATAAGAGGCAAAAAAAAATTTATTTTATTAACTAAATCGTGACTCGGTGACTCACGTGACTCACGATCATTGTTACACTAGCTTTAAGATAACATACGTAACATGACTAACTGATACGTACTCTTCTTCTAAGAACTTTGCAAAAAATGCCGTTAAAACCTGGTGAAGTCGATTTGGGGGTTAGTAAGTGATGTCGATATTTTTAGGTATCAGTTGTGGTGATAACGATTTTAAAAAAATCCCTCTACATTTTTACCATGCAAATGAAAGACATTAATTTGAATTGATATTTTTTCTTTTTATCCAGACCACTATTATGGCCGTGGAATTTGACGGTGGAGTTGTCGTTGGGGCGGATTCTCGCACCACATCCGGCCCTTACATCGTCAATCGTGTTACTGACAAGCTGACACACATCCACGACAGAATATATTGTTGTCGGTCGGGTAGTGCAGCCGATACGCAAGCTATTGCCGATATTGTCCACTACTACTTGCAAATGTACTCGTAAGTATGATACGTGAGCCTAATCATGTTCTCGCATAAGTTTAGAAAAATATAATGCCTAATGACTTTATTAGAGCTCAGAATGGCGAAGTTCCTTCCGTACAAACGGCCGCGGCATTATTCCAAGAAATATGTTACCAAAATAAATCCAACTTGACAGCTGGTATTATCGTTGCTGGATGGGATAAGTATGAAGGTGGCTCTGTCATTAATATTCCGTTAGGTGGATCAACTCACAGACAGCCATTCGCGATTGGCGGTAATACGTGTCTCTTTTCTTCTGATGAATCCTTGTTACTTTTAATCGAAAACCAAAAATTGATTCTGATGATCTGGTTTTTAGGAAGTGGATCATCCTACATTTACGGTTATTGTGATTCCACATACAGGAAAAACATGACGAAGGATGAGGCCATAAAATTTGTTAGAGATGGTTAGTTTCTCTTTCGCGCACTAAAATACTGGTCAGGCCAAAGAGTAATAAACTTTTTTTTTTTAATTTGTGATATGCAGCTGTTGCTCTTGCCATGTCAAGGGATGGTTCATCGGGCGGTTGCATTAGGCAGGCTATTATTACTAAAGAGGGAGTTGAGCGATTATTCTATCCCGGCAATGATTTACCAGGTAAGTTTGTTGTCATGTGGCCGTTAAGTCTTATTGTATTCTTTCATTCACACGACATTCATCCTTTATCATTGTATAATTATAGTATTCTGGGAAGGATAGGCAGCTATTGTTTCTCTGATGATAAATCATAATAAAACTTGAATTTCTTTTTAAATCGAAATGATAACTTTAAAGCTTAATATCCTTAAATGTATACTTTTCATTGGTTCATTATAAAACCACTATTAAGTAATCAAATTAGTTTATCGGCAATCATAGTCGTAATCTTTCAAGTTGAGAAAATAAAAAAATTATTTCATTAAATTTCATCAAGAGAAAATTCAATAGAAATTAATGACGTTTGACAAAATCAATAAGTAATAAAACAACAATTAACAAAAAAATTTTATATACAAATTTAAAATATTATAAAGTAATTTTTAAATTCAAAAAACAAAAATATAGAATTATTAAAATTAATAAAACATTTTTATATACTTTATTTAATTAAATTGTTACTAAAATTTTTTTTTTTTTTAAAGTGGAACGTGTGCAAGGCATGTGATCTTTATTGATACATTTTATATCTAGACAGATACCAAGTGTCTTTACAAATTAACTGGAAATTGGTTGATATATGGATACCCATTATATCTTCTGCAATTAATTTGCAGATTAACATTGTCTAGTACATATATTGCTATAAGACTAGCTACACCAACTACTTATAACCCAACTATGCATTCATTTAAACATCTGGAGATGTGTCCATATGTCAGGTGGGACTTTTTGCAGGGGAGGAATTCTACCACTAGTTTAAAACCCATATAATCTACTAAGTCCATATTGCAGAGAGTAGTATAGTATGGGATGTTATTATAGAGATTAATTCCAGTTATTCCAATCATCTGTTATCACTGATCCTTAGAATGTGCCACTAGTATAATGCAGCACTACTGTTTTCACCATTTGTGAAACTGGTGTCCTTGCTTGGATTCCGATTTAATCTTGACAATTCTCATCAGATTCACTTGGTCTTAATGATTTTTGCCTGGATTGTCACCTTCTGTGGCCAATAATTTTTTGCTTTTTCAGTTCATTTAAGTTCATGTGAATACTACTCATAAGATAGATCCTCAAGCTTCAGATTGGAATAGATTAATTTAGGATTAACCTTTTTGGTTGTGTGATAGAATCTGCTGTTGCCAGTTTTGGGTTGAAATTTTTGTGAACTTTTACTGGAGTTAGACCAGAAGCCTTTTCTTATGCAACCTTCCTTGCTTCGACCTGTTTTTCAGCCCATGATCATTGGAAAGACCAGAGGTCCCATCTTTATGTAACTTAATTAAATTTGGAAATACATTGTTGGCTGATTGGATATGACATGAATTGGAAGCCGATTAATCAATTATGAAGGTAATAAATTTACTAAAAAATTTTTTTAAGCACAAAGGTAAAACATTAAGTATAATAATAATAATAATAATAATAATTTTTTTTTTTTAACAGGTAAACAACAAAAAAAAGAATAAACAAAAAAAATATATATTTTATAATAAATTTAAAAATAAAATTAATATCAATTATAATTTTTTTTTTCAGGTGAAAGGTGCTATATGTACAATTTGTTTTATTAAATTATTTATATCCAATATATTGTACATATTTAGATTTATTTAAGTTAACCTGCTTTCTTATCTATAGACTTATCCAGTATACCAGTTTACTATTTAGAAGATGGGTCTACATACCAGATAAAATCTTTAGAAGATAAAAATCCTATTACTAGTATCTAATTTAATTTAAATTCTGTTTTAATTATATTTATTGTAAAAGAAATACTATATTATCTTGTAAGGATAATTATAACTAGGATTTCTAATGATATTATTTTGATATCAAGTTGATACTGAATTTATTATAAGTTTAATATAGTGAATTATGATTCATATATTAAATTTATTATAAGTTGGTACCATTTTGATACTCAGTTTGAAATCTTAATTATAACATTTAAATATCTTGAATACTTTTATTTAAACTTTAAAAAAAACAAATTAATCTTTTGTTATTATATTATAGCTTTGAATTTTCTTAAGTGAAATCTTTTTTTTTTTTTAAGTAGATAAACATCATTTCTTTATTTGATTTGTATATAGCATGGTATACATTGTGAAAGAAACAATATCTTTTATATGTTGGTACAATGAGTTAAATGCTAGCTTGCCTACAGTAACCATATGATTAATATTGAAAAAAAAGTTTAAAACAATATGTCTTGCTAGATAGCACTAAGCAGTTATGAATATCTATTTAATATCAGAAGAAATAGAGTTGAAATTAGCAGATAGAGTTGTTAAACTATAAATACATTTGGGGTAATTATATTTGGATTAGATGAATGCGTTAGTGACAGCAGAAGATAAATCAATAATAGTGTTGTCTTGTGAATTATTGAAGTTATTTTTGGTCACAAGATTTTTTTGATTTCTGGATTGGTGGAGTTGATTGAATTATGTAGTTTAGTATAGTTCCACTTGATTTTAATAAGAGATGAGGTGTTAGTTGTGAAGCAACGTGATTTCCAAATTAAATCATATAATAAAGTTAAAGATTTTGTTGCTGCCTTGATCCAGTTGATAGAGATTGAAGTGGAGAAGATTTTGTCTATGACTTCATATGACAATTCGACAACTTGCCATATGTATGAGATTGGTTTATAATTATTGTTTGGATGGAAAGTCTGATTAATAGTTTTTATGATTTGTTCAGTTGCTTGTAATGCTTCTGAGTATTTAAAAACATGTTGGATATCTTCAGTGCAGAGCTTGCATCGTGGATAGAGGATATCTGGGTATTGGTTAGAGTATAGTTGGTGAAGTGTAAGACAAGTTGGAAGAGTTTCCAAGAGCAGTTTAACTCTGAAGGCTACTAGAGTGCTATACTTGTTGTTATGAAGCTTTCTGATATTTTTGTTGGATTGGTTGATGACTTTTAGACCATGCGGGGTGTGCATTCGTCAGACGTTTGGATAACTAAGGGGCTTTCACATATCATGTAGTCTCTGGTGATACTGAAAATTTTCTTGTACCATCTGATACTATTATCTAGGCAAGTATTGTTGATTAGGGGATTTTTAAAAAAGTATAGTGGGAGATTGTTTCATTGAATAGTTTTGATTGATATTGATCTAAACTTAGGTTTGGTATATACAATTTCTATGGATTTCTGTTGTATATATCGATTTATTCTCTGGAATAGTAAGAAAACATTGATTTTAACTAGACTTTTTGGATACTTAGGTACTGATTAAAGGATTTTTTTGTTGTTTCTGATTTCAATAGTGGAGTGAACTGAAATTCCCTGAACAATATCAAAGATTGCCAATAGAATGTTGTCTGGTGGTAAGCAGAAGTTGAGTAGTTTTATTTCGATTTAATTTATAAATAGATTATTTTTGTGTGATTGAATATGATAATATTGTTGCGAACTAAGATCTTGTAATAATAATTGGGGAGAGTGATTGGTAGAGATGAAATCTTTTTTTTTAAGCAAATGCCAAATTAAAATAGCCTTAAGCTAAAATATTCTTTGTATTATAGAGTTTGTTATATTAAGAAAAATTATAAGTTTTTATAAGAGTTAGATTAGAAATCTTTTCTTATATAACTTTTTTTATTTCAATTTATTTTTAGTCTATAATTATTAAAAAAATCAGAGATTTTATTTTCATACAGTCTAATTAAATTTGATTATAGCTAAAAATTATTAAATATGATATATACAGAATATCTGGTAAATCTATATGAGAGTATTATACTTTTTATTTCTTGTAAATATTAAACTAAAGATATATGCTTAGAGATTTAAAAGCATTATTTATTGTACTATTGATCTATAGATTATAATATAATTTTTATTATTTAATTTAATAAATAAATAATTTTAGTTTGATTAAAAAAAAAATTATATAAATTACTTAATTAAATTTTTTTTAGATTTAAAAATTCAAGTTTAATTTATCTTATTTAATAATAAAAATAAATAATATTTATATTATTAATCACTGATATCAAATGAGAACCAAACGAACTACTAAACACTGCCAACTTAATCAAATCAAAAAGAAACTACACTGTTTCTACTGGAAGCTCACACTCCAATACTACTTAAAACAAAATTATTATAGACTTATTAATAATTGTTATTAATTCTTTTATTCAATGTAATTATAACTATGATAAATGTATTCAAAAATTAATATTATCTCTTTCAAACATTATTTCTCTTAATAATGAATAGTGTCATATATCATTTCTACCTCAGAAGAAAGATAAAGATGGAGAACTAGTAGCAGGGAGGCACTTTAGATGGACAGG